CTCGGCGTCGAGAAGAGAAGTGGCGTTGGATGCCTTCTGCTTAGCAAACGTATGAGCTGCCTTCCCTCCTCCTTTGACACTCTCAACCGCCCAGGTCCTCCACTCCTTCAGTGATACCTTTGGGTCCTCCCGTCTCCTTCTGTCCACCTCCCCGTACATCTTATGCAGGGCATCGTGGACAGGCTCATCGCCCGCGGTGGTGACATCAGCGAAGGTGCACAAACAAACTGGGCGAGAGCTCGGCGTCAGCGGCGAACGGGCCCACGTCGGCGACCATGGCCTTCAGGTCCCTGGACCACTGATCGAGGAGCATTCGGCCCTGACGGCCTGCTTTGCCTACGCGAGTCTGACAGGTACGCCTGCGCAGTGACGCATAAGAGATCCAAGCCGTCGTCGATCGAGAAAACCTGCGCCTTTGGTCCTTTTCCCAAACCGAAGCCAAGGAGACAACTTTTGATTTCGGTCCAGCAGCCCTGCCCACGAAAGCCCTGGAGTACTGAGGGTCTACCCCGTGAATCTGGATCAGGCGCCTCTCCGAGAACTCGAACCACTCCTTCACCATGAGGTTGAGATCAGCTGAGGCACCCACTTCCCAAGGCCAATTGTACACCACTGGGGCTTGCATGGGACCTATGAGCTCCATTGGGAAGGCTCTGAAGCGCACTTGCTGGTTGATCGTCGACATATGTCTCAGATCCTTTAGCTTTAATACGACAGGCACGTGCGGGTAGAGCGGAGCCTGGTCCATGACCGAGATCTCCTCCACACGCGAGGCCAACACCTCCGCAACCACAAAGAAATCGAGGATCCTACTGTCATCTGCAGCTTGGTCTGACCCAGCTGCTCCACCCGAGATGACCCAGTCGTCCGAGGTGCCCTGCGGGTCCCTCTGGGGTACCTGTTGGGCCTCCTGAGGGTTGGCGGTCCTGCAGGTAGGGGTTGGGTTGCAGGAGCCACCAGCACTCCTCGAACCTTATGTGTCCACCCAGAGCCCAGGAGCGCCTCAGGCTCGAAAGTGAAGTCCCCTTGGAGCACCCAGGGCCTCTCTTGGGCCATTATGTAGGCCCCGACCGTCTGCAGGAGGTCCAGATTGGGTCCTGAGAGCTCCTTGCCCGTCACAAAGTACACGCTGATGACGACAAGGCCCTTTGGGGACCCCACATTGACGATCCTGGCCACCACTCTGCTAGAACAGTCCTCAAAAATCGTGGTCGCCGTTGGCGTCGAACCTAACAATGTGCAAACTCCGACTGCCACACCTGAGCTGCTCTGCTGCTGCGATGGCCCCGTACTATGGGCCATCCCAAAAGAAAAGTGATAACCATGCCTACGCCCCCAGCTCATCGCGGAGACCTGCTTGGTGTCGCTCTTGATGCGTGTCTCTTGTAAGCAGCAAACCTGTGGGAGATACTGGGCCCCACCAGCCTTGGACTCATCCGCCATCCACTCCATCACAGATTCAAACGTGTTCCAGGCATTGACATTCATGCCTGTGGTGACGAGCCTACTGACAGCCACAGACTGAGGTTGAAGCCTCGCCTCCTTGGCCGCAAAGCTCTTCTCCACCGCGGGGGCAGCTGCACGCCGCCCTCCATCGGGTCCTGACTTACCAATTTTCGATAGAGCATCCAGCTCAACATGGGAAGGAGGGTGAGCGACCCGCAAGCCGCAAGGCGACGAGGACTTCCCCCGAAGGTCGGTACCCTCTGGCTCTCCTGCAGCCTGGCCTGGGGGCGCTGCGCTGTGCGTGCCAACGGCATCCGCCGAAGGTCGGTACCCGCTGGCGCCCCGATGGCCTGCTGCCAGAGCTGAGCAGTGCGTACCCTCGGGGGGCGAGGAACCCAGAGTAGGCGCAGTAGCCGTCTGCGTCGGCGCGCATGCCATCCACGATGAAGGACTGGCCTCACAGCTGGAAAGTGTCCCCAACCCCGAGGAGCGGGCCAGTTGGGGCGGTAGCCTCTGTGCTGTCCATGCCCCCAACCCCGAGGAGCGGGCCAGTTGGGGAGTATGCCGCTGCACTGCACTTGCCCCCAACCCCGGGGAGCGGGCCAGTTGGGGGATCATCGAGGATGCCGAAGTCGCCGTGCTCGAACTGGAGCCATCGACGATGCGGGCAAGGGAGTGTGACTTCGAGGGGCTGAATCCCTCCCCCCCTTGCCCAAGCGATACGACGACGTACTCCCCGCCAAAGCGGAACCGAGCACGGGCCAATCCTTCTCGTCCAACTCCATCAAAGTTCCGTCACGATGGCGAAACTGCATCGAGTCGAACAGCAGGTCGTCGCGCATGACTGGCACAGCGAAGCCCGCGGCCTGCTCCCAGTCATGGTCCAGGAGGTTGCACCTCAGGAAGTCACTCAAGCTGGACAGCTCCTTAACACCACTGTCTAGAGGAGGGCCCTCCACTCCTGCGCCCAGCTCAGGAACACGACCGAGCCCGCTTGACCCCAATGGCCTCCGCAGCCTCGAGGTATTTGCGCTTGGCGGCGTCGAGCTGCTCCTGACTTCCTCCTTTGGCCTCCTTGAGCTCCTGGGCGGCCTTGTCAAAAGCTGCCCTGCGCTCATCGAAGTCTTCGCCATCCAGCAAGTCCATGTCAATGTCGTCGCCATCGCCTGCCGTGGCAGCAATGTGCTCGCCGCTGCCCGCCCCGCCTGTAGCAGGACCAGGAGGAGCACTTGCAGCATCAGGCCCGCTGGCCACTGCCCTCTTGGCCTGGGCCTCGGCCTGCAGGCGCTGGAGGGTGGCCAATGCAGCTTGACCTTCATCAGACTGGGCGACTGCTTCGTCCAGGGTGGCCGTGACTGCTCTGAGTGGATCGCCATCAGCTTGGACACGGAAGAGCGCCTGCTCAGCCTGAACGAGGTCCTCTTTGAGCTTGTCGACGCTCTTGTCCAGCTCAGCGATCTCGGCCTGAAGATCCTCCTGTTGCTTGCGCAACGCCGCCGCACGCACCTCCGCCTTGGAGAGCTTGGTGCGGAGGTTCTCGACCTTCCAGTGCGCGGCCCTGGACGTGGGCTGCTTGACTGCCGTAGCCTGCTTCTTTGCCTGTTCTGCTTCTTCGACCTTCGCCGTGTCGACGCCCTCATCCTGGAGAAACTGCAGCACATCAGCGAACGAGAGCTTGGCAGACGATCCACCCGTTGTGCCCCGCAGCGGCGAAGGGGAACTGGACTGCCATGGCGGCCGAGCTGGGGGCTGCTTGCCCGCCAACACTTCAACCTCAGCCCTGAGCTCTTGAATGAGGCGCATCTGCTCCTTGCTGCTGGGTCCGATCTGCGGCGGCCCTTGAGCCCAGGCACCACGAGGCCCACGAACTGATCCTGACTTGAGTGCCGCTGATGCCTTACGAGCTGCCTGGACGACTCGCACTGGGGCATCCTTGCCGCAGCCTCTGCATATGACTCTGGACGCCCAGTTGTCCGGGCACCCGCAGCTGCAACTCCACAATGGAGTCTTGGCTCCAGGCAAGACATCGGGCGGGTTTGGCACCATCCGCGACTGCTGGACACTGCAGCGGGAGGCGCCGTGCGCTTGTGAAGTGGCCCGTGTTCACGAGCCGCTTCGAAGTACGTGAACGCAAGCACGGGCCCCTGAAAGAGCTCGTGCCGAAACGGCTAGGAGGAGGAGGAGGAGGAGGAGGAGGAGGAGGAGGAGGAGGAGGAGGAGGAGGAGGAGGAGAGAGGGAGGGGAGGGGGAGAAGGAGGAGGAGGAGGAGGAGGAGGAGGAGGAAGAGGAGGAGAAAGAGGAGGAGGAGGTTGACTTGCTCGACGCGCCCATCGACCAACGTGGCGCCCTCTCTTCAGGGGGGGGGGGTGGGGGGGCGCTCGAGAGCGCCACTATGGCCGCGCGCCGTGTGCCGCCTCGCGCGGCGCGGAGCGCGCAGGAGGCTCCTCCCCCTCCTCCTCCTCCCCTCCTCCTCCCTTCTCCTCCTCCTCCTCCTCCTCCTCCTCCTCCTCCTCCTCCTCCTCCTCCTCCTCCTCCTCCTCCTCCTCCTCCTCCTCTTCCTCGTCATCCTCCTTCCTCCTCCCTTCCTGCCTCCCTCCTCATCCTCTCCCACCTCCTCCTCCTCCTCCTCCTCCTCCTCCTCCTCCTCCTCTCCTCCTCCTCCTCCTTCTCCTCCTCCTCCTCCTTATCCTCTTCTTCCTCCTCCTCCCCCTCCCTCTCCTCCTCCTCCTCCTCCTTCCCTCCTCCTCCTCTCCTCCTCTCCTCCTCCTCCTCCTCCTCCTCCTCCTCCTCCTCCTCTCCTCCCTCCCTCCCTCCCTCCCTCCCTCCCTCCCTCCCTCCCTCCCTCCCTCCCTCCCTCCCACCTCCTCCTCCTCCTCCTCCTCCTCCTCCTCCTCCTCCGCCTCCTCCTTCTAGGTGGCAGTGGGCACATCGCATCAGAGATCGACCTTCCGGCAGGTGCACCGCGAAGACTTCGTGTCCCCCTCCTAGGGCCCCAGGGGGCCCACAGATCGGGGTGGCTTGAGACCCGAGTGCTCTGCAGCTCGGGTCTGCCGGGGCTCGTTCCGACAGGGCTCATTCCGACGGGCCCGTTCCGCTGTCTCCGTGGGAGGTCTGCAGCCGGAGCCCGCGCCAAATGTCAGTCTGGGCCTCGGCATGCTTTCGACGGCCCCGTCAGGAGAACCCGAGTCCCCCGAACCCGAGCCTCCCGTCTCCCTGAACATGGGCTCCGAGGCACCTCAGGACCCTCACCGAGCGACGAAGTCTGTGCCCCCAGGAGGTCTCGTTGCGGGAGTTCTCATCTTGCGTGTCAGCTGTATCCTCTCGAGGGTGCGCCACTGATGTTCCACAGAACGGTGTGTTGTCGCCGGCGCGGGCATGCCCAGCGCTCATCGGAGCCGAGCGATGGTACACCCGCGCCGTTGCAGCGCGGCATGGTTCTCCATACTTCGGCGACGTCCAGTGGCCAGAAGGGGGGAGGGGGACGCACAGGAGTGGGCGCACGGGCACAGGGAGGTGGATTCCGGATGTCGTCTCGCACGAGGTGCGTGCCGCAGGGGCATTCGTTCGGCCATGCGCGCCCGCATTTTGGTTCACCTTCGCCGGCACCGCCCATCTGTGTCCGCTCCCTCGCTGTTCTCCTATAGGGGGCCACATGCGAACCCTACCCCTACCCCCACGATTTCTGAGGGGGAGGGTGGGGTTCACTCCGCTCGGGAGCTCCCGAACGAAGTGAACCCCACCCTCCCCCTCAGAAATCGTGGGGGGTAGGGGTAGGGTTCGCATGTGGCCCCCTATCCTAGTGGCGGCCGTGGCTTACTTTTTGCTGTCGCCACGAGTGCGGGCAGGGCGGCATCCAGCCATCGGGGGCTTACCTGGCGAGAGCCATGTCTCAGGCAAGAGTGTGTCGGTAGCGGGTGTGTGATGATATGTTCTACAGCGGGTCAACTGGCCAGCACCAAGACCACGGACGCCTTGACTTACCGGAATGGGTGAGTTGCACGTTGCTGGCACCGTTTGTGTGGTGCGCCGTTTCGAGACATGGTGGTGGTTTGCCCAAAGTGGGTCTTGTCTGAGGAATCATTGCTGCATTCTGCTGGGGGTCCCCTGTCCCCAGGTAACAACTATGGTTGCCTTTTCTTTTATTATTTCAATATCGGGATCCCTCGCACCCCCAAGGTCTAGGCCCCTCCCCGGTACTCTACTTCTTTGTGTTGTTCTGTGTTGCATTGTATATTGTTGCGGTGCACCGCGTTGCAAGGCATTTATTGCCATGGTGTTGCTTCACATCGCGCTGCTCTGTATTTTTTACTTTGTTCCGCACCCAGCGCATTGCATTGCGTCGAATTTGTTTGCCAGTGCAGTGGTGTTCTATCTGGCATTATTTTCCGTTGTGCCACTTGCGTTGATTCGCAGTTCGTATTGCATTGTATTATGTGTTTTGCCCATTGAGTCTTGATGCATTGCTTCTCTTGCGCATTCAACCGCATTGCAATGTGTTGTACGGCATGGCCTCTCATTGCTTTGCGTTATGGTGTATGGGATCGCATTTGGTTGGGTTGCGAGTCGCATCGTGTTTGAATGTGTTTGGTATGCAATACGGTAACGCTCCATGACGTTGCTGTGATTCGCATTTGCATTGCCTTGTACTCGTTTGCATCGCATTGTGTTTCCTTGCGTTGCGTTGTTTTACGTTAGTTTGCTGCGTTTTGCATTGGAGTGCGCAGTTATCTGCGACGAGCCTCCCAGTCAGAGAGACTGCTGTTCGGTGGCATATATCCTGCGGCTCGCTGAGCATGATTCGCATTCGTTCTGAGGCTTATTCCGAACATCCTCGTCAACGGCGCAACCGCTCCTTCGGAAGCGAATCATGGGAGCCTTGTGTACCCTCGTAATTCCGTTTTTAGCGTCGGCTAGCGTCGATGAGCGTCTGGTAGTCGATGAGGTAGCGCCGATGTTTGCGTCGGCTAGCGTCGATCAGCGTCGATGTAGCGCCGATTTAGCGTCGACCATCGTCGATTAGCGTCGATTCGCAGGAGCCGACAAGATGGTATGGGAGGCTCCCATGAGTTGCCACCGAACACTCGAAGCGTGCCGCTTGAAAATGGGCCACTCGGCATCCGGTGAGCGAACGGGCACTCGCGCTGCGTGGCCGCATGCACACGGGTTGCATGCCGCAGGGCCGAGGGTCCGAAGGAGCACGACTGGCGGTGGATGAGAGCAGGGACAGGAGGCATTGCCTGCTCGAGCAGAGGAACGGAATTGCGGGATGAGAGGTTTCCACAACCCTCCTCGAGATCAAACGCAAGTTTGAACTTTGGTCGAAGCGCGAAGCGCGGCCCAAGGGGTCATATTTCTGTGCTTGCACTCGCCAGCTTCGTCGCGAACATTCAGATTTGGGCATCTTGGGGCGCCGCCGCGTCGCGGGAACAACTTGCGTTTGATTTCGAGGGGGGATGCAGGATGCCCGATGCTTCCTTCAGCAGAATGTCCGTGATGGTTCAACTCAGTTTTTCTAGCGCCGTGTGAGGGGTGCTGGGCCACCGATGTCGGGTGCCCATCGTGGCACCCCTCAACCGTAGCCCCCTGTCGTGGGCCCCCATCGTGGGCCCCTCCGTGGTGCAAATGCGCGAAGCTGCTCAGGGTCTTCTGCCGCAAGGGTGTCGTGTGTGTGTGTGTGGTGTGTGTGTGTGCGTGCGCTTTTTCTCTCACGACGCGGTGCCCAGAGGCCTCGACCCCGTCCCAGGACCGACCTCTCATCGTGGGCCGTCCTATCGATGGCCCCGCGGCCCGAGGAGGCCTTCTGGATGCCCAGGTAGTGGAGGCACGACCGTCGCGGTTCTCTCCGCGACGCCTGGGGGGCCAGTGCGACCAACTGCGGAGGCTGGGGCGTCGAACACCCCCCGCTGGGATGCACCTCTGGCTGCAGACATCCATCCTTCGAGTTCTGTGCCGCGGCGAGTGTTTCAGAGCTCGTAGCCGCAAGGGCAGGGTTCACACGTGGTTGATTGCAGGGTGAAGACGGGGGCGGGGATGTGGAGCTAGACGGGGCTAGGACGAGGATACATCCGATCCTTCGGTCGCAAATCACGGGAGCCTGGTCTACCCTCTCGATTCTGTGTCTGGGAGTCGACGAGATAGCGCCGACTTAGCATCGGTTGGCCTCGATTGGCGTCGATTTAGCATTGATTAGCGTCGACGAGCGTCGATTCGCAAGTATGGGAGGCCCCCACGAGTTGCCACCGAAGACGGGGGCGGGGGTGTGGAGTCGGACGGGGCTCGGACGAGAACAGGTCCGCCCCAAGGCGGTCTGGAACGCTCTCTCGGAGCGCTCCGGAGACGGCTCTGGGAAGGCCGCGGCGCCCAAAGCATCCTCCGGAGCAGGGGGACCCCAGAGATTCTCGATCTACCCTCACCCGACTGTGTCCTCGTCCTGGCCTCGTCTGCGTGCGGAGGTGGAGGCTCGCCGTCGCGCCTGGGTGGGGCTCCGCCTGCAGATTCGAGGCCGCGGCCCGGCTGCGGACGGTTCGCGCCAGACGCCCCGGCGCGCGGGGCCCCTCCGCGACAGCGGCGGGGGGGCAGAGGCGGCGTGCAGAGGTCGTTGGCCGCAGATGGTAGATTCGCGCAGGACGGACGAAGCCTCGCCTCTCCCCCCCCCCAGGACCCCCTCGAGCCTTGACAAAGATCACGGCTGGAGGTTTCTCGCTGTGTTCGGCCCCTGGCGGCCCTTACTGGGCCTCGGGACCGTGAATTATCGACTGAGGAGGAGGAAGACCGGGGCCGGGGATGGGGTCGAGACCTCTGGGGGTCGACGGTATGACAAAATTATGGCGTCGCGGGTCTGGGCCCCTCCTGCCTCCCCAGAGACCCCCCGCGTATTGAACTGACACCCCTGCGGCAGACAGCCCCAAACAGCTGTGCCCACGACGTGAAGGGTCACGATGGCGGCCACGACCGGGGGCCAACGATGGGGGTCAAGCGATGGGGGGCCACGATGGGCCAGCGGACTTTGAGGGCCCCGGACATGTGGGGCCACGGTGGGCCACGGCTGTCTTTCCCTTGCCCTCCCCGCGCATCGAAGAAGGGCGAAGCGCCGGGTGCCTGGGTCCCCTCCTCGTCCTCTTCCTGCTCCTCCTCCTCCTCCTCCTCCTGTCACCCTCCTCCCGGCGTGTTCTTGTTCCTCTCTCTCGTCTTTCCCCTCCCCTCCCAGTGCGTTCCCGCGCGCCTCTCCTCGCGCTGCCCCCTTGCCATTCCCCGGGCCCTCGCTGCCTCTTCCCGCCTGTGCCCGCTGTTCCCCGTTCCCCCCCCGTCCTCCTCGCCTCTCCACCCTTCTGGTTCCTGCTCCTCCCCTGCCCTCCAATCCCTTCGCGCGTCTGCTCATCCCCTTGTTCCTTTTCGGCAGCAGCGCCCATGGATCTGCGCTGTTCCTCCAGCTCGAGGCCCGCCTGAAGCAACGTCACGAACTGCACCCGTGAATCGGCTCCTCCTTTCTCCTCGCCCGCGCGCGGGCACCAACTGAGAACAAGGTGCAGCCCCGCCTCACCCATCCAACCCGTGAGTGCCCTCGCACAGAAGTTTGGGCGCGTGCCGCAGCTGGCACCGAGTTGACCACGCATGATTCCCGCGAGGGGGGAGTCCGTGCGCATCGCCCTTCACCATCCCGCCCTCTCTTCCCTCCGCCGGCACCGCCCCCTGCTGCTCTCGCTCCTGCCGGTGCTCCTGTTGCCCTCCTTGCTTCTCCCTGGTCTGCCTCTGCCCACTCCTGCTTCTAATCCCACTGCTGGCGGTGCAGGCATTCCTGCTGCACATGCTCGTGATCATGCCCCCTCCTGGCCTTGCTACTCCTGATCGTGCTCAGATGCACCCAGTTGCCAGTGGTACGGATAATGTTACGCATGCGCCTGGTCTGATTCATTATCACATTCCTGCCCGTGCTGCGTCTACGGCCCACCATAACGTTCTCATGGCATCTTATGGCCCTTTGCCGAGTCACGTGTAGACGCAGGCTACTACTGATGTTCATGCGCGGAGTCCCACGAGTTTGCTTGAGAGAGGATGTGGCAAAGCGCGGGTTGCAACATCGAGTTTCGCGAGTCCGTAGGCCAGTGGGCCCCGGAAATGGCAGGGCAGTTCTGTTACGTTTTCGGGCCAAGCTTGTGGAATCTATGAGCAATAGGGCACTGGCTCCTGGAAGCGAAGAGACAAACGGCTCCGCGGGATCGGAACCTGAACCGGACTCGGGACAGGGGAAGCAAGCGGCGCCCAAGAACCAGCAGTAACAGTTGTGCCTCTCACGAGCCAAACCCTCGGGGTGCGCCGTACCTGGAGAGGAGGCAACTCGCTCGCGAACGTGCCGTGCCATGCCCGTCGCTGGCAACTTGTCGTTCGAGTGCCATTGGCTCTCTCGGCTACGAGCAGCTGGCCGAAGTGTAGCAGAGAAAAAAAGAACCAGCAGTAACAGGTGAATAATATAAATCCCGGTCGTTCCCAGGGCCCACGGGGGGTCCACGTGCCGCCGCGCCGCTTGCTCTGGGGCCTCGGCCAGCGGGGCGAACGCCCCTCTCCGGCGCGGTGGGCTGGCTGTGGGGCTTGCCGCGGCGCCAACACGCCGTCTGCCCGGGGCACGGGGCGCAGGGCTTTTTCCGTGGGTGTGCCGTGCTGTCGGCGTGGGCCACCTCGGCGCGGCGAGGACGAACGGTTCGCGGCGACACACAGCCATCTTGGCTCCAGCCTTTTGGCCCAGAGGCCGCCAAACGTTTGCGTCTCGCCGCCCGCGCCGTCGTCCACCCGCCCGCCCTCTGGATAACATGGCCTCCCCAGCGTCCCTTTCGCTCGCGGGCGCCCTCGCCGGCACCTCGCCGCTGGAGCCGCGCGGCGCGCCGTGGCAGGCCGCCGTTGTGCCCACGGCTGTCGGCCACGCGCAAAGGGGGGGCAGGTGGAGGGGAGAAGGCTTCCCAGAAGGAGGCTGCTTCTTAGAAGGCGCGGGCCCCGTCTGCAGATGCAGGGCCGGCGCCTTCTGAGAAGCAGCTTCCTTCCTAGAAGCCTTCCCCCTCCCCCTGCCCCCTCGTGCGCGCCGCCAAGGCTGCCTCGCCCGCTGCCTCCACACGCTCTGGGCGCTCAGCCGGTGCCAGCCCGCGCCGCCTGCTGCTCGCCGAGTCCCTCGCGGCGGGCCCGCCGGCGTACGACCCGGCGGCGCCTACTGCGCCGTCGGAGCCGCCCGTGCGCCTGTCACTTTTCGAGTCGCTCACGGCCCTCGACGGGCAGCTCGCGATCGGCAGCATGGCCGAGCTCGCGATGCTGGGCCCCCCGCCTGGGCTGCCAGCGCCGCCCGGCCTCGAGGATCAGTTCCAGGTCCCAGCGGGCGAACAACGGTATATAATGTATTTGTCCGCCGACGGAGACGCTTGTCCCCCGGGCGGCTGGACAGTTTTTGTACCCCTACGGTGCCACGGAGGGGTACGAACTTGCCAGCCGTCCTGGGGGCAGGCATCCCCGACGAACAGCTACTTCTCGCAGGGCACCAACTATACACCTATACACCGATCTTGGCCAGGCCAATCCTGGGCCCAGGATCGTTGTAGCTGCCTCCCTGCCCCGGGCAGGAGGGCGCACACACCGATATCCTGGGCCCAGGGTGCTCCTGGCCAAGACCGGTGCTGGTGTACAGCCGGTGCCCTCCGAACTCCGCTCTCCCGCAAGGCCCAGGCCGACGTGGAGCGCGCCTGCAGCGCCTTCAGCGACGGCTGGTCCTCGGAGTCCACGGCCGCTGGCAGCGCCCGGCTCTCGGAGCGGGACTCCGCCTCGAGGAGCCCCGAGCCGGCCCACGCCTCCGCGAGGACGCCGCCCTTCGGCCACGCGTTCGCAGCGCCGGAGGCGGCTCGGGGCGGGCTCGGGGCGAGCTCGGGAGGGCCGAGAAGGAGTTTGGAAGGAGGGTTTCGAGGAGGGTTCGCGTCGTAGGTTTGAGGAGGGAGGGTTTGGGAGGCTTTCGGGTCGCAGGAGGGTGGAAGGAGGGCTGATGAGAGGGTTGCAGGAGGTTTTTTTTTGTGCAGGTCTTCAGGAGGGTTCGGGAGGTCTCGAGGGAGTTCGGGGGAGAAGGTTTTGGGAGGCTCTGAGTGTGCGTGTGTGTGTGTGTGTGTGTGTGTGTGTGTGTGTGTGTGTGTGTGCGTGTGCGTGTGCGTGTGCGTGTGCGTGTGCGTGTGCGTGTGTGTGTGTGTGTGTGTGTGTGTGTGTGTGTGTGGAAGGCTTCGGGAGGGCTTGTCTTGGGGCGAGGCGGAGCCCTTCCACCCCATGTTCGCCGCGCTGTTCGGCGTGAGTGCGGCACCCGCTGACCTCCTGGACACCCTGGGTTTCGCCGCCTCCCTGGCGGCGCCGCCCGCCGAGCACGCGGCGCACGATCCGGCCACGTGCCGGCCCTGCGCTTGGTTCTGGAAGCGGGTGGGGTGCAAGAGCGGCGACGGCTGCGAGTATTGCCACGTGTGCCCAGACGGGGCCCTGAAGGACCGCAAGAAGGTCAAGCGTTCGGAGCTGCGCGCGGACGAGGCCGCCTCGCCGCCCGCAGAGAAGCACCAGATCAGTCTGGCAGCGCTCCTGTGAGGCGGCGGGCTTCGCAGGGAAGGGGGGTTCCCAGGGGGAGCGATTGACCCAGTTCCCATCGAGTTGTGACAAAATCACGGCTGGAGGTTTTCACGATTTTCGGCTCCTGGAGGCCCTCACCAGGCCTCAGGACCATCAGATAACTACTCAGGATGGAAAACCGGTCCCGGGGAGTGGGTCGAGACCTCTGAGGGTCGACGTTATGAAAAAATCATGACGTCGGGGGTCTGGGCAGTCGCTGTGATCTCGGAGGTCTGGGGAGTGCGGATCTGAGCGGCACAGCGTACGCAGACTTGCGCACCCCGTGGCGCACCAGCGACCATCCACCGCCACGGGGCATGGCGCCGCTCTTCGATCCGGTCTTCACGGCGATGTTTCGCTCGGCGTTCAGCAGATGTTCTCGCTTGCAGCATCGTCCCATAAACAAGTGCAAGATCGCTCGCTCATGAGATGTTCCAGGTGGTCATAAAAAGGGGCGACGTTGCGGGTAGAGATTGCACAGTTAATTCGCATTGCTCACTGTTCAATTGTCTGTGCGCAATGACCCTAGAGGCCAGCTTCTAGAGATGCATTCATGCATCCCTGTTTGGGCAGTTTCCTGCGCACCGCATCGACTCGTTTCTCCCGCAGCAGCTGCAGCATGAGGTACTCGAGCGCAAGACATGATGCCATGCTTGTGGACATCACCGTTCTTTACTTGGCAGCTGACTGCGAGGCCACTGCTCGAGCGGGCGCGGACGCTCCGTTTAATGCCGGGGATTCAGAATGCGGCTGGGCTCTTAATCTAATTTGATTATTTTGACGTGCCTGGAGGAAGGGGCGTCTCGCACCTCTGCGTGGAGAGGCGGGAGGGCAGGATGCCGTGCTTTTTTCCAGGAGCCGCTGCCCCCGCTCCCCAGACGACGAGCAGGCGGCGACGACCGGTGACGACGAAGGAGGACAGGAACGAGAGCGACGACGACTGACGAGGGAGGAGTCGGAGGCGTAGAAATTGACACGAACACCAATATCGGCGGTGTGCCTCCACCGAGGGAAGATGATCCCGATCTCGGTAATGGTGGTAATATATATATATATATATATATGTATATATATATATATATATACATATGTGCTTCCAAGGTGGCCGAAATATTACCACCAGCACCACCATCTATGATCTTCCTGCTTCGGTGGAGGCAGCCCCTTACTTTGATGTTTGTGCTCATTTCCAAGCTTCCGTGAGCGGAGACGACGCACTGCGGGGGAGGGAGCGCGGCATGAATATGAATACAAATTCGAAGTTTGTCTGCCGCTGGGGGTCAGCAGCACCGTCGGCGGCAGGCATTCCACAGTGGCTTTTGAATTGCCTTTCCAGGGCCCAAGTGCGGGCATGGCGCTGGCATGAGCAGCACTACGCTCGCACGGGAGCTACCCAGGAGCTTGCCGCATTGTTGGGGTACGCCCAGCGATCGGAATCATCGCATGGGAAGGTCGCCCCGGACACGCCGCGGCATTGTGGAATTCAACGAATCGAATCAGATATTTGTCATGGCAAGACGCCTGGACCAATTCGATTGCCGCTGGCCGACGCTACGCCGTCTGGGCGCACGGACTATGCGACAGGATGCATGCAGCGTCTATTCTCCTTGACAATTAAAGCAGAACACGTTGTCGTCACAGGAACACTGCAAGCTGCTCGCTTTAGTTGTTCGCATGTTCGCCTACTCTCCTCCGTCAGCTTGCGCCTGCATGTGTAAATTCGGGGGAATGGCAACAACTGCCACTCGCCTTGCGTACTCGCATTGTGGATGCTTTGTGTGCAGCCGGCACTGGACACCGAGCATGCTCTCTTTCAGCTTGTAAGGTCGTGACGTTGCGTGCTGCGCACAGCCGGCTGCACACGAAGCTGCTTACGTCTTTTCCAGCCAGCCAAAAGGCAAACGGCCTACGCTAGTGAGTGTTGTTGCTGATGCCGGCAAACATGGAGCATCCAGGGGACAGCGTCCTGACGGACGCTATTCGAAAATTCGTCAATGTTGAAGAGGTGGCAGCTTAGGCTCCGCAAACATCCACAGGTGCAAAGGCTCAATGACCTGTTTGCGGCCCTGCTGGGCGAGGACCTTCCCAAAGTCCTCTGACAGGCCGAATTCGCACCGAACGAAAAGGCATTGCCACATACGATGACGACGACGATGACGATGACGATGCTGATGACGATGATCGTCATCGTCATCAGCATCGTCATCGCCATCGTCATCGCCAGCATCGTCATCGTCATCGTCATCGCCCTCTCGTCAGGGCCCGCAGATCCGTGGCAGGCGCCCGGGCACTGGGGATGGGCGGCGGCCACGGCCGCGCTGACAAGGAAGCTGCGCGAGTGGACCTCCCCCTCACCCGGATGCGCTCAGCAAGTTCGAGCAGTCACCCTGCCGGTTTCGGAAAGGGCTCGGGGTGCCTCGGTCCGAGACCCGAAAACCATCACTTCACTAATTTTGGGCCCCAGGGGCCCCAGATTAGTGAAGTGATGTTTTCTTCCCACGTAAGGACCCCGAAATTCATCACTTCACTAAACCGAGACCAGGACGAAAGTCAGGGGCCGGATTGCTGCTGTGATGCCACATCGGCCTCGTACTCGGGCCCCTCCTCAGGGTCCCTCCCTGGCCCTGCCCGCCAATCTGGGTGCAGCCCAGGGCCACGGTATGACAGCACCCCGGCTGCACCTTGTGGGCCGGGCCGCGCGCGCGAGGTGTCCCCCGGGAGATCCGCCTGCGCGTCGGCTTGCCGCGGAGACCTGCTGGCGTCCGACGACGGGGGCGTGGCGGCCTCTGACGCAGGCCGGCCTCCGCCAACGCCGCAGGGGGGAAGGGCTGGGGCCTGGCATCCCAGGAGAGAGGGGGGCGGAAGGTCAGAGGAGGAGAAGGCACCGACGTAGGTGCTCGTCCTGCAGAGCTCATCGTCGCCACGGCTGCACTCTTCTCGAAATCCAGGTCAGAGCGCACCCCGGGAGAGGTCCAGGGAATGGCGGTATCGGTACAGTCGGGCAGAGGTATAAGGTCGGGGTCGGCTCGAGGAGGGCACCCTCGTGCTCTTCGTGCTTGCGGGATGTTTGTTTGTGCATCCTGGGGACGGTACCCTGGGATGTTCTGTGCGTCTTGGCCGGCGGAGGGCCGCATACTCTTGGAGGATGCTCTTCTGGCCTAGGGCCGACCGTGCCAGTCTGTCCTCTCCAGGGAAGCTTACGGCACAGGACGAGGCGAGTCCAGGCGAGGGCTTTCATGCACGCGCGTCCGCACGTCGTTCCAGCGTTTACAGCTGCTTCTCCCCTCCCCCGCCGCCCCTCTTCCCCTTAGGAACCAGCTGCACGCAGCTGTTTCTCTCCTCCCCCCCACCCCCGGACGGCCCAAGAGGCATCCCAGGAGGGCCCCGAGAGGCCAAAAAACATACATGTGCCGCAGTTTTTTAGGCGTTCTCTCCTCCTTGGGCCCCCCGACGCTCCCAGACGGTCCTTGAGGTCCAATTGTCGTCCCAAGACGCCCCCCCTTCAAGCATTTGCCTTGGTTTGAAACATGTGCTGATTTTGTCGTAACGGCTTCTTCGTTGCCGGCTTCCTTAATTTTTACCTGCTCTGGCCTTTCGAGGGTGTGTTGCAACTACGGTTGCAACCTCATCGTTCGCCTCGTGCGAAACTGTTTTGAGCCCTGCTCGGTTAGTTCTTCGGAAGCTTGACGGGCAGATCTCCTCAGCCAAAAATCCGCCCTTTTGGGCAGCCTGGGGGATCTATTGAGGGTCGCCTCGGGCTTCCGTGGGACCTCTTGGGGGCCTCTTGGGGGCTTCTCGGGGCAGGTGCCTTCGGCCGGGGCCTCCTCGGGGTCTCTTGAGGCGGGAAGCTGGACATGACTATCCCAACCCCGGACCTTTCGACGAAAAATGAAGCCTCTCAGAAGAGGAGCGGAACCCTGGGGACACACCCCCCAGGGGCCAGGTGGGACGCACCCTCGTCAAGGAGGCACGCCCCCGCCCCTCGTACATGCCAGGGCCGGGCCCCAAACTTCTTGTCCATTCGAGGACCCCACGAAGCATGGGACAGGGGGGCCGACGTATCCCCAGATGTCGTCCGCCCAGAGAGGAGAAGGAGGAGGAGGAGGAGGAGGAGGAGGAGGAGGATAAGGACGAGGAGGAGAAGAAGGAGAAGGAGGAGGAGAAGAAGAGGAGGGGAAGGAGGAGGAGGAGAAGGAGGAGGAGGAGGAGGAGGAGGAGGGGAAGGAGGAGGAGGAGGAGAAGAAGGAGGAGGAGAAGGAGGAGGAGGAGGAGGAGAAGGAGGAGGAGGATAGAAGGACGAGGCATCCCGCGGGCGGCCGCAGCCAGCGGACAAAGCCGGGCCCCCGGAGCGGGCGGGCGGAGCCGTGCCTCCTGCATATAGGGGCCTCCCTGCTCGGGGCGGCCCGTGGGCCCACGAAAGCGTGCGCAAAGGAGGCGGGGCCCGGCGCGCCCGGGAGGTGTCGGGAGCTGGAGCAGAGGCGTTGCTGGTGGGGGGCGGCTAAGGGGCCGGGTGATGACCAGGGGGGGGGATATCATGGCGTGGGCCGTGGGGCGTGGGTGTGATGGCGTGGGGTGGATATCATGGCGTGATGACCAGGGGGGGTGGAGCAGAGGCGTTGCCTTCGTGGGCCCTGGGAACGACAGGGCCGTTTTGTGGCCGGTTCCGTTTTGCCGTTGTTGTTGCCGGTTCCGTTTTGCCGTTTTCTGTATCGCTTCCGTCTCGCCGTTTTTTTTGGCCGGTTCCGGCTCCGGCTCCAATCCTGGAGCCGTTTGTTTTGCCGTTTCCGGTCGCTGTTTTTTTTGCCGTTTCCATTTTCAAGGGACATTTTTGTTGCCGTTTCTGGTCGCTGTTTTTTTGGCCGTTTCTGGTCGCTGTTTTTTTGCCGTTTCCGTTTTCAAGGGGCACTTTTTGTTGGGAAACGGTGACAAAACGGCCCTGCCGCTTCCGGGGCCCACTGAGGGCGTGGCCAGTGTAGGGGGGCGGCCAAGGAGCCAGGTGATGACCAGGGGGGGGTGGATATCAGATTTCATGGCGCCCCTTCTGACTTCATGCCGGTGCATGGGGGCGGCCAAGGGGCCGGGTGATGACCAGCGGGAGGGGGTGGATATCATGGCGTGGGCCGTGATATCCTCAAATTTCATGGCGCCCCTTCTGGCTTCATGCTGGTGCATGGGGGCGGCCAAGGGGCCGGGTGATGACCAGCGGGGGGGGGGGGGTGGACATCATGGCGTGGGCCGTGATATCTCCTCAGAGTTCTTGGCGCCCCTTCTGACCTCATGACGTGTCCTGGCCCCCCCTGGGCCGCGCACGTGCCTCGGGCCACGACTTGCACCGCCCCCTCTTTGACGCCCCCCTCCTGGCCGCCCCCGAGTAGCTGTTACCAGTGACGGGCTGTGTTTCAATCCCAGGACTTGTTGAGGGTCCTGCTGGACGACGTCGGGTTGGTGCGGCGTGTACTTTTTCCCGTTCTCCCGGGGACATTGCGAAAAATGTAGATGCCAGGATCCCGTATGCACCAGGACCCGTTTTCCTGTGCGAGTTTCCGTGCGGGGCCTCAACAAGTGCTGGTGTGTCCGTAAGACGGGCGACGGCACAGCTCGAGGAAGAGCAACGCCACTAATCGGGGGCGATCGAGGGGGGGAAGGTTCGGTAGCAAATCCTGGGGGCCTGGTATGCACTCTTGATTCTGTCTTTAGCGTCGATTAGCTTCTGGGAGTCGATGAGATAGCGCCGACTTGCCGTCGGTCATCGTCGATTAGCGTCGATTTAGCGCTGACTGGCTTCGATTAGCGTCGACCAGCGTCGATTCGCAAGAGCCGAGAAGGTGGTACGGGAGGCCCCCATGAGTTGCCACGGAAGGAAGTGAGACGGATCCCGAGATCCTGGCGTTGCATTGTTGTTCGAGCCCGGGGACCCTCGGGCATCGATCCGGCTCGGTCAACGACGCGGCAGATTGGGGTCTGGGGCACAGGGCGTGATTTTTGACAATGGTGCGTTTTTTGGCTACGTCGGATCTCAGGGGAGAAGGCCTTCTCAGACGGCGGCGGGACTTCTCAGAAGATGTTTTCGCGCCTCCAGAGAGGTGTTTCTGTGTCGTCGGGGAAGGCTCGGAACACTGTTCAGAAGGCTCGGGGGAATCCGAGCATTCCGAGAAGGCCCGCCCCTTCTCTTCCTTCCCCCCCGGTTCGCCGCCGAATTCAGTCAAGACGCCACGAGAAGGACCGCTTTGGGTTCGGAAGGGGCTCGCTGCGCTTTGGGTCATTCCATGGTTGTTCCTCCAGCCCTCCTCTTGCTAGGAGGCCACATGCAAACTCTACCCAAACACACCACGATTTCTAAGTGGGGGAGGTGGGGATGGGTTCGCATGTGGCCTCCGACGTGCACGCAGGCACTGTCGGGGCCAAAAGTGAGCGTCGTTCCCGAGTTGGCCTTCCCTCTGGCAGCAGCCCGACTGTAGACATGCGCTCTCGGCGGTCCGTGCATATCTTTCAGTCGGGCATGTCCCTCTACAGGAATGGTGAAAAATAGTATGGTGACGATATTCGTGCTTTTTTGAATACTTTTTTAAAATTGCTTTTTCAAAACATCCGCCTACAGGAGGGCATGCCCGACCTGAAACGCATTTCTTGGATCTGCGCTGGAGACCCCTGGCGGCGCCTGCGGCGACGCCCCTGGCGCGCTCCGCTCGCCAGGGAGGGGATGAGACCTGGCGCAGATCAAATAAATCCGCGCGGATCTCCCAAGGCTTCTGTTTTCGCGCCGTGCTTCTGTTCCTCGAACAGCTCCGAGGAGGAGGAGGAGGAGGAGGAGGAGGAGGAGGAGGAGGAAGGAGGCGGAGGAGGAGGAGGAGAAGGAGGAGCAGGAGGAGGAGGAGGAGGAGGAGGAGGAGGAGGAGGAGGAGGAGGAGGAGGAGGAGGAGGAGAAGGCGGATGAGGAGGAGGAGGAGGAGGAGGAGAAGGAGGAGGAGGAGGAGGAGGAGCAGGAGGAGGAGCAGGAGGAGGAGCAGGAGGGAGGCTGGAGCCTTTTCCCAGGCCCCCGAAAGCATGCGCAAGGCCGAGTCTTCTCATGGCGTCGGGGGCCCATATATGGGGCCATCGCCGCGCCCGCGGGGCCGGCTGGAAACGGCTCCAGTCCAGAATCCAGCCCTGGGGGGAACGGATACAC